TAGCCTACCCCTGTTGTTGTCGACTACTGATGACGTTTTATGTACCTTCGTCTGAGACTGCGCGAAACAGAAAGTGACAGGAACGGAAGTATTTTTGGCGCTCAACTTTGTTGGAAATTTGTGAATTAGCAGCGCCAACACCCAGGCGGTATATAATTTTACTCCTTCTGACTACTCCCCGCTTCTGTGATGGAGTACGGAAAGGACAGAGTGGTGGCGTTAGTCGATATGGATTGTTTTTACGTGCAAGTGGAACAGAGGCTTAACCCAGCTCTGAGAAACACTCCCTGTGTAGTGGCCCAGTACCAGACGTGGAAAGGAGGCGGGTGAGTTTATGACAGAAGAGACAGCAGTGCAGTTAAGTCAAACGAGGTCAGCTTACTAGGTTTTCCACATTCAGATGTCCCAAAGGTTTCTTCAGTAGATTGAGTTGGCTCTGTTGTCATCACGTGACCTAGTGGTGCTGAGAGAAGATAACAGCCCTTTTCATGCTATTTCCTAGTTAGTGTCGTGACCTGGCAACATGAAATTAGACAGGGACTGTAAACACAACTGTACCTGTATTCTCAGCTTGTGTCTGTTCATTTGCATAGATCAAATTTACAGCTCTGTGTTGGCAACTCACCCTACACACCCACCCTCATCTCCCACAGATAACCACCTTGGACATACTGTTATCATGTTCTTACAGTTTTCTAAATATGACTAGAAACCATGGTTCTCAAGTAAATGTAACTCTCTGTTAGTATCATAGCAGTGAGCTACGAGGCCAGGGCCCATGGTGTTACCAGGAACATGATGGTGGACGATGCAAAGAAACTGTGCTCAAATCTCCAGGTGGCACGAGTCCGTGAGTCTCGTGGCAAGGCAGACCTGACACCGTAAGTGCTAGTGATGTACTATCTACCCTCTGCACCTCAAGGTTTATTCTTTTTGATTGGATGAATAGTTAAAAGATGTTATTTTAACACTTCCACCCCTGTGACCTGTTTTAAGGTAAATAATCTCCCCTGTTTAGTTACAGAGAGGCCAGTGTAGAAGTGATTGAGGTGATGTCTCGCTTTGCTGTGATTGAGAGAGCCAGCATTGATGAGGCCTACATGGATCTGACTGCTGCTGTTCAGCAGCGACTAAAAGATATGACTAATCAACATATAACACCTCAAATGCTGAGCATGACCTACATTCAGGGGTACCCACAAAGTTCACCTGAACAGGAAGCGTCTGCAGAGGATGCTGTCTTTGATAAAGGTAAACTTTAAATCAAACTTTGACTTATCAATTACTAAGCTATTTGTTTCAGAACTGGACACAGGAAGATGGCTTTGAAGAGAGACATTTAAAACCACCAAAACTCTAGTAGGCTGTCTCCCCGTAACAGTGTCATGTTTGTCCCCAGAGGAGCAGAGGTCCAGAGGTCTCCAACAGTGGCTGGCATCCTTACCTGTTCCTGTGTCAGGGGAGCAGAGCTCTGCTGAACTGCAGCTAACTGTGGGGGCACTCATTGTTGAGGAAATGAGAGCAGCTGTTGAGAAAACCA